ACCAGAAAAACTTAGGTAAAATTTATGAGAATTGATTTAATTTGAAAAGACCAGATAGAATTTAAACAAATTAGCGATGTGCGAAAAGGATTAAATAAGATTTCTGGAAATTAGTCATCCGTAAAAAAGAATATTTCAGATTAATAAGATATAGTGTAACCATGTAAAATTAAAGAAAATCAAATCAAATATCTCAACTGTGAAAAAAATTAAAAAAGATTTCAATATTTGTCAACTGACAGGGAGATTAAAAAACATTTGAAAAGCTTAGCCAACACCTTAAAAAATTAAACTAAATCATTAAAAATTATTTAACTTTAAAAGGAAGAGAAAATATCTAATAAAACTAGCCAATCATGAAAAAAATTAAAAAAGTATTAAAAACCAATCTGGAACAATTAAATAAAATTTATAAAAGCTATTTTATATTGAAAAAAGTTTGAAAGAATTTATGATAACGAGTCAACTATGAAAAATTAAATGAAATTAAAACAAAATACTCAACCAGAAAAACTTAGGTAAAATTTATGAGAATTGATTTAATTTGAAAAGACCAGATAAAATTTAAACAAATTAGCGATGTGCGAAAAGGATTAAATAAGATTTCTGGAAATTAGTCATCCGTAAAAAAGAATATTTCAGATTAATAAGATATAGTGTAACCATGTAAAAATTAAAGAAAATCAAAATAAATATCTCAACTGTGAAAAATTAAAAAAGATTCCAAAATTTGTCAACTGAGAGGATGGTTAAAAAACATTTAAAAAGTTTAGCCAACACCTTAAAAAAATTAAATTAAATCATTAAAAATTACTTAACCGTAAAAGGAAGAGAAAATATCTAATAAAACTAGCCAATCATGACCTAATTGAAAAAAGTACTAAAAACCAATGCGTAAACAAATAAATAAAATTGATAAAACCTTTTTTATATTGAAGAAAGTTTAAAAAAACTTATGATAACTAGTCAACTATGAAAAATTAAATGAAATTAAAACAAAATACTCAACCAGAAAAACTTAAGTAAAATTTATGAAAATTGATTTAATTTGAAAAGACCAGATAAAATTTAAACAAATTAACGATGTGCGAAAAGGAATAAATAAGATTTCTGGAAATTAGTCATTCGTAAAAAAGAATATTTCAGATTAATAAGATATAGTGTAACCATGTTAAAATTAAAGAAAATCAAAATAAATATCTCAACTGTGAAAAAATTAAAAAATATTGCAAAATTTGTCAACTGAGAGGGAAGTTAAAAAAAAATTAAAAAGTTTAGCAAGCACCTTAAAAAAATTAAATTAAATCATTAAAAATTACTTAACTTTAAAAGGAAGAGAAAATATCTAATAAAACTAGCCAATCATGAACAAAATCAAAAAAGTATTAAAAACCAATGCGTGAACAATTAAATAAAATTTATAAAAGCTATTTTATATTGAAAAAAGTTTAAAAAAATGTATGATAACTAGTCAACTATGAAAAATTAAATGGAATTAAAACAAAATACTCAACCAGAAAAACTTAGGTAAAATTTATGAGAATTGATTTAATTTGAAAAGACCAGATAGAATTTAAACAAATTAGCGATGTGCGAAAAGGATTAAATAAGATTTCTGGAAATTAGTCATCCGTAAAAAAGAATATTTCAGATTAATAAGATATAGTGTAACCATGTAAAAATTAAATAAAATCAAAATAAATATCTCAACTCTGAAACAATAAAAAAAGATTTCAAAATTTGTCAACTGACAGGGAAGTTAAAAAAGATTTAAAAGATTTAGCCAACACCTTAAAAAATTAAATTAAATCGTTAAAAATTATTTAACCGTAAAAGGAACAGACAATATTCAATAAAACTAGCCAATCATAAAAAAAATTAAAAAAGTACTAAAAACCAATGCGTAAACAATTAAATAAAATTGATAAAACCTTTTTTATATTGAAAAAAGTTTAAAAAAACTTATGATAACTAGTCAACTATGAAAAATTAAATGAAATTAAAACAAAATACTCAACCAGAAAAACTTAGGTAAAATTTATGAGAATTGATTTAATTTGAAAAGACCAGATAGAATTTAAACAAATTAGCGATGTGCGAAAAGGATTAAATAAGATTTCTGGAAATTAGTCATCCGTAAAAAAGAATATTTCAGATTAATAAGATATAGTGTAAACATGTAAAAATTAAAGAAAATCAAAATAAATATCTCAACTCTGAAACAATAAAAAAAGATTTCAAAATTTGTCAACTGACAGGGAAGTTAAAAAAGATTTAAAAAGATTTAGCCAACACCTTAAAAAATTAAATTAAATCGTTAAAAATTATTTAACCGTAAAAGGAACAGACAATATTCAATAAAACTAGCCAATCATAAAAAAAATTAAAAAAGTACTAAAAACCAATGCGTAAACAATTAAATAAAATTGATAAAACCTTTTTTATATTGAAAAAAGTTTAAAAAAACTTATGATAACTAGTCAACTATGAAAAATTAAATGAAATTAAAACAAAATACTCAACCAGAAAAACTTAGGTAAAATTTATGAGAATTGATTTAATTTGAAAAGACCAGATAGAATTTAAACAAATTAGCGATGTGCGAAAAGGATTAAATAAGATTTCTGGAAATTAGTCATTCGTAAAAA